CAGAATGTGCATCTTCAATGTTTTATTTAGTTCCAGTTCATATTTAATTTCACTACTGCCAAGTTTAATTTCAGACAACCAAGTGAAGGTCCTGTGTACCATTTCCAGCTGATATAAGGCATATTGTGGAAAGACGGTAAAGATATGTGATTTAAATCTTGAAAGGCAGGTTTATTGATTACTCCTCTACTACACCTGTTGGCAAATGATAATAAAAAGAGCCCTACTGGATTGGACTAATGATCCATCTGGTCCAGCCTTCTGTTTCCCACAGTACAATAAACAGATGCCCCTGGGAAATCCACAAGCAGGGCTTAAGATACACACCCAATGCCTACGCCAAGACATGCTAAACATCTGTATTTCATAAAGTTGTGGCCTGTTTAAATACAGCGGTACCTTGGGTTACAAACACCTTGGGTTACAAACTCCGCTAACCCGGAAGTAGTACCTTTGGTTAAGAACTTTGCCAGAGGATAAGAACAGAAATTGCGCACTGGCGGTGCGGCGGTGGCTGCAACAGGAGGCCCCATTAGCTAAAGTGGTACCTCAGGTTAAGAATGGTTTCAGGTTAAGATCAGACCTCCGGAATTAATTAAGTTCGTAACCCAAGGTACCACTGTAACAGTTGGTTGTGCTTTGATTACTGCAGCTTTAGCATGCCTTGGCTGCAACGCCCATGGCTTGACTGTGGCTGGACTCAAAACATGTCCAATGATGTCTGATGTTGTGTCACACCATGCCATTTGTATGGATGAATTTTAGTCCAACATGGCAGTATATCAATAAAAAAAGTCACAGTTCCATACAGCAACAGGAGATGCAGCGTAAAAGGAATGTTAAGAGGCTGGGACATAAAGACCAGCATTATAAGCAGGAAAACTAACACAATAATCCCCACATCTCAATATTGTAAGAAATTAATTAATTTGCTTTTAGTTGATTTACTCAAGTCTCCTAAGATATTATGGTTTTGCTCCAATTGGAACACACCCCTAGTGAGATCATTGGCAGTGCCTTGATTTTTATTTAGGGAAATAGGGAATGCCCTCACCTAAGTCCCTGCTCCTTATACTACATCAACACTGATAGTGAGAAGGAGAAAGGGAGATGGAATGACATGAGATCAAATGCATTGTTATGTTTAACATGTCTATGATCATAACTTGTGTTTGTGTGAATGTTTAACCCCTTCCCTGCCATAGTTTCAATGAAAAGCATACCTCATGCTGCTATTTGCCCTGGGAAGTAAACACTGGGGGATATTTTCAAAGGAGGTACCTAGTTTGGCCTAGAAAAAGGAGAAAAGTTGATCCCACATTGCAGATGGTATACTTGATATGGAAAGGTGGAAGAACACTGGCCTAAGTCAATAACCTTGCCCCAGAGGGAGCTTGGTCCCCTGATGTCTTGATTTCCCAGGAGTTGTTCTAAAGCATCTCATCAGTCAACTGTTTAAAAAGCAATGGGTGAAGCTGAGAATTAGAACAGATAGTATCAGGAAAGCTAATCCCAGGAATTTGACCCTTTTGAAGCCGGTGACAAACACAGTATATGAATTTATAAATGTAAATAGCATGATCTAAAGAAGTACTGGGAATTCTTTTTGCAGTATATGGGAACAACATGAATGAATACAACTAAAAAAAGAAAATGTGAACTATAGCAGTGGCTCAAAGAACAGAAATGTAAAATAGAGCAAGAATGCAAAAAACACTGAAGCAATTGATAGGATGAGGTATTGATTTGCAAATCAATTGCTACAGTTCATTACTATGGTTTTTAATAAAGCTCGTTGATTTTGTGACTTGGATTTCTGGATTAAATCAATCAGTTAGCAACTGACTTGGTCTAATATTACAGGCTAATTGCCTAACAAACCAAGTACAGACTTTGAACCAATCAGAATTCCATAGTGGTACTATTTCTTCTGCCCACATATACAAGAGAGCTGTTTCTGGGACTTCTTTAAGGGTTCCACAAGTAACAACACTTCAGATGCTGGTATTTGTAAAGGAGACAAGTATATTCTCACAGTCCCAACCAGATGCCCAGAAGAAGCCTTAATTCAGAACCTAAGGGCATGGATTAATACCCTTTTACAAGGCTCCAGTTTTGCCTTTCCTTTTCATCTTCTTTATTCCACGTAGTTTCCAAATAGCATACTCTCTTTTAAGGAGCTTCATATGTTAGAAATTAATAGGATTTTGATTATTTGATTTTGTTATGAAGGGAGAAATGCCAGCTGCAAAGCAAAGCTATTAACATGACTTAATGTGTTGCTGACCCATCTAAGAGAAATCCTTGGGCCTGGGCAGACAGGTTGCCAAGGTGATGTGTATTGTGGTGAAGGAAAAAAGTGTTTTTAGCTGGGAACAAGAAGGGGGAACAGAAAAAACAGGCTGGCTAAAGGGAAGCTGGGAGAGATGCCTTGGACTCCAGTGCTGTACTCCTATGAGGAACAAATCCCTCTTGAGGTGACCATGCTGGTGTAAATATGTGAATAAATCACATTTCTTAAAGCTGTGACAGCCTTCACCATTGTCTTGATTCTCAAAGGAGCACAGAACCTGGGTGAGCACATGAGACCCCTTGGAATCATGCTCAGCACACATTTTGCAACAATATGATTGCAAATTTGTTTGCCGTTGAACTGGCAACAACCATTACTCAGTCTACATCCTTAATGTGAGTGCCACTGTGAAACACTGGGATGAAAAGACATATGTTCACAATTTAGAGTTTTCCAAGTACATATTAAATGTTCTGTGTATATTCGTTTTTTTCTAAAAGAGCTAGGAATGACACAATCTTTATAAATCTCTTTATAAAGATCAGGATGCTGAACTAGGCAGGACTCTGTCTAGTCCAGTAGAAAGGCTCTTCTTATGTGGGCCATGTACAGTGAGGAGGCACACCTGAATGCCTCTCTCATATTCTCAATAAGGGTAATGATCTTGGAAGACAGCAAGAAAGCTAATTTCCTGTGGCATTTAATGTTATCAGTGCCTGATAATACAAAGTGATGCATGAAATTATGAGTATTAACAAATAATATATTTATAGCAAAAATGTCTGCATTATATGTAGGAATCATGTACAAAAATTAACACTTTTTCAGCCTGTTTATATTACCTAGAAGAAGGTTAGCTGTTTGTTTCAAGTTGTACAGTAAGGGTAGAAAAATGCAGGGTCTTAGCCTAATAATTCCTCTTGGGGAGTGGGCAGTCATGCTATGAGTTGCCCACTGAGGATGATCAAAGCAGAATATGCATAGAGAGGTTCTGCTAATGACTCACATGGCAAAAAACCCTGAAGGGCATATGAAGTTAGAGTACATTGATTATTTTGTTATTTGATTACTGTGGAAATCAGTTCTGAGCAGTAGGCTAAGCATGTTTAACAGGCCAGCTGTGCATCAGCAGGCCTTGATTTTCACTGGGAATTAGTGGAATTTTAAAGGAGATTATTGATTTTTTTGTTTGAAGCATTTGAAATTTCTTGACATCCCATCAAGCTGGTAAAGCATGTGGACAGCACAAAGGGATGGTCTGTGTGATCATCAGTAGCTGAGGAGTGTGTTCGAAGGATGAAAGGCAAAGACAAAATCCAGGATAAGACAAGGTCAGTAGTTGGGATGCATCTGATGCCTGGAACCAAGTGGTATCAGGAACAAGCTGTGTTCTTTAAGTGAAGAATGTGCCCTAAAAAGAGGAGCAAAGAGGAACAGGTGTGACAGGGGACATAGGTGGGGAATGGACTGTACATGGTGAAGAAAGGTAAGGAGGAGATAGAATGAGACATATGTTTCAGTCAATGAATCAGCAGTGTTTGAGCAGTAGGCCAACTTCAGAATAGAAGTATTTGCATTTATTATCAGTAAGACAATAACAATATGACAAAACACCTGAAGTCGGCCTAGCACTATACATATTTTTTAAAATCACAAAATGAAATTTAGTAAAGTAAGAATATGAACTAGTTGCAGGACCTTAGCCAGACCTAGCAGAGTATATGCAGAGTTCACGAAACTCTGCAGACACCTGGCTGCAGACAGGATGGACGAAGCGGAAACCAGGAACTTATAGTTAAAGGTGTTTATTATATACAATGGACTATTTACAGGAACAGAACAGAACACGGATCTTTGACTAGCTCTCTCTTACACGACTCACAACTCTCAACCTCCAACTCCTACACTCACTGAACCCTGAACTAACACATTCCAGTTAGTAGGCCATAAATCATTATTCCCGTGAGAGAGCTTGACCAATCATGGAGCTGTCTCCATGCCTCTGTATCACCAGGCAGATTACACTCCTTCACACTGCTTTGGCTGTCGGCCAAACCTAATTGACTCTGTGTGTGAAGCTGCACGTATTCAGATTTCCAACACACCTCACGGGAGCATTTCAGAATGTATGATATGAGAAAACAGCATCATAGATGTCAGGGGGAAAAATACACATTTTTGTAAATCAGCATAACAATATCAGCAGCTGAAAAGCCACAAGATTTTGGCACACCTTTCTAATCAATGAGGATGAAACTTGTGCACTTCAGATACAAGATTGTTCTCAACGAAGGCATCGTTTTATTAGAGACAATTACCTAATTAGCCCTCTTTCAAGGTGGCAATGAATGAAGCGTTCATTTCAACCTCTAGACACGGGGAAGCAAGGCTGACAGCCAACAATATATTTCAGTTCTTAAAATATGTTGAAAACCAAAGAGACCAACTCCAGCAAATGAGCAGAACTCCACGTGATCAACATTCTTGCTGCATATGAAGGCTTGGTGGGAATGGGAAGTCTCTTTTGCCCAAAACTCCACCAGGGTAGGGCTCTTCCCTCCTGTAGGTTTGCCCCCAACTCTGACAAAAAGCCACATAATGTGTGAGACTAAATTGACCACTACTTTAGAGAGAAGACCCCATGCACAGTGTGCATTGATTTAAATCTCCCCTAAAATATGATAATGTCAATAATTACAAATGGAAATACAGTGGTACCTCGGGTTACATACGCTTCAGGTTACATACGCTTCCGGTTACAGACTCCGCTAACCCAGAAATAATACGTCTGGTTAAGAACTTTGCTTCAGGATGAGAACAGAAATTGTGTGGCGGCAGCGGGAGGCCCCCATTAGCTAAAGTGGTGCTTCAGGTTAAGAACAGTTTCAGGTTAAGAATGGACCTCCGGAACAAATTAAGTATGTAACCAGAGGTACCACTGTAATTTTTTTATTTCTTATTTAGTTGGCTTTTAACTAATGTTTGTTAGATAATGTTTATTATGCTACAACCCAAAAAAGCATATTGATTGATTAAGGATAGAGTATAAGTTTCTTAAATATTTGCAGATTTTTACTATTTTAGAGAAAGATATTAAAAACAATTGATTATTTTCAGATAACAAAGACACTGTCTGACTGACACCCAGATTTCAAAGGGTTTACTCAGAGTATTTCTAACGCTGGATATCACCAGCTTATGTCACACACATAGCACAATAATTGTATTTTTATTAAACAAATTGTAAAACAAGCTTAAGGCTGGCAAAATTTCCAGTTCCTCATCCACTCAATGCAAGAAGGTTGGAGTGCAGGGAGAGTGCCCAGGGCACGTTCCTTTCTATTGTCTTCCCCTCACACATTCTTTTTGAAGGTCTAAAGGAGGCTAGAGTTTATCAATTATTTCAAATCTGATACTAGACTTAAAAAAATATTCACTATGGTTCTATCATGAGAGCACATGAAGCTTGTTTGCATTTATGATTTGACATGGTATCTGAACTGGAGTCTAGACAAACAAATACTTTCACCCCTTTCTTTTCTGTTTTCATTCACCACACACCATGTGACTTTATAATGAGTCATGACTACTAGATGCACAAAAAGAAGCTGTCTTTCAAATAACTCTTCTTTCACCACTGAAGCTTGTCACAAAATAATCGAAACCTCTGACATGATCACAGCACTGAACTGTAGCATAAACACTCTGATTGGAAATACTGTGGAAAATATAGGAGAAATCCTACAAGGGTCATGCCTGCCACAGATTTACAACTTCAGTACTCTTAAGATAGTGTTGGATATTTTTTTAATATATAAATGGCAATAAAAGAAAGAAAGAAAGAAAGAAAGAAAGAAAGAAAGAAAGAAAGAAAGACTGCTATGTGTACACAGAGTACACTTAATAATGGAACCAACTACCCTACGATGAAAAGCTTCAATGGCTATCTTTTAATTAGACGACGGACCATGTGGGGAAAAAGGATAAAAAGTCATATGACTTGGCATCAAGAGGAAAAATCTTAGTGAATGTAAAGTCCAGAAAGCTTTTATTATTCATTCATTAAAACTATTCCTTAAAAGAAAATAGGAACATGGCAGATTTGTATAGCTGCTTTTTGCTATAATAACTAGCTCTCTTGACTCAGAAGGCAGAACATGCATACTAAAGCACAAGTGAAACAGAGATAAATGAGCTACAGCTACAAAGGTTATTCATTTCCTGAAGTTTAATTTATCAAGGCAACTTTGAGATTATTTTCTCTCTCTGCAAGGAAATCTGTTTGATCACTGGCATTAAACCATAATCTCAAAATAAATAAATAAATAAAAACAAAATGGTAATTTGTTGCTCATGCAATCATCATGTAAACAATAGTTAATTATGGGCATGATTCTGGTTCTATAAGACACAACTTCTAATTGCTTGATCCAAAGCCTATAAAAGTAAGAGGGAGCTTTTCCAGTTTGGTATCATGATACAAAAGAGAAGTGTTATGCTTACATGGAATGGTTTGCATACTACACAGTTAAAAACTGCAGGGATCCAGCTTCTTTCACTGAAACATCTGGTTCTGGCCTTTATATTGTAGACAGAATTCATTATTTGCTGAGCCAGAAACCTGATATGATATAGCAACTACTATGTCTCAGTTAGAGGCTGTTGGTCCTTATTCCAGCTAATTGTCTGAACCAATTTGGAAGATTCATTTCAACTTAATGCATATGCTGAAATATTTTCCAGTTGTGAAAATGCAAGCGTGGTCCATAACAGTTAGCAACTAGCTGTGTTTTAACATATTATGACAAAATACAGTAAAGTAGTACATGGTACTGAAAAATTCTCTAAGGCTGCATATTACACAGATAGGATCCTCTCTCAATGATTATACAATATTTTTATTCAAAGCTCCAGCAATGCTCCTCAGTTTTCAGAATTCTAAGGATGAGTGGATTGTTCTCATTCAGACTCTGTCTTAGCCAGCACACAGAATGATGAACAAACTTTACATGTTTTTCCCCACACACAGTTTGAAAAATCTGAACAATTTGTCAACATGGAAACTTTCCTGACTGGGAAAGATGATCAGGTCCATTATGTGCTAAACTGCTAATTCATTTACACCACATTGGGAGTGATCATTCCAAATCAGTGAATCATGTGTTATTCAGTTTCCAGAATTATACTTTTCTCGACCTTGCAAGAAAGGTGGACAGTGGACCCTCCACGGATATGAATTAAATTCATTCCGGAGATCCATCCGCAACCCAAAAAGTCCGTAGGCAGGTTTGCTGTGTTCATAACCCGAAAGGTACGTATCCAGAGCGGTATGTAACTAGAGGGTCCACTGTATTACAATTTGGTGTGAATTATTGCCATTCTTTGACAATTCTACTGGAATAACAACTGCGCTGCATGTAGGTCCAAATCATGGAAAAGCACAGAAACAGCTAGAGAGGATTGTATGTGTGAAACAGGTCAAGCCTAGTGAATTGTACTTACAAAAGGTAAACTTGGCTGAAGTGTTTTTCCTCAAATGCAGTCAGTCAAGATCTGCAGAGCTTCCTGCAATGCCTTTTCTGTTATGACCAGAGATACTGCTATAAAGAGGTGAAATGGCAGGCTAGATAACATGAACACTGCGCTTAGGAGTCAACTGGGTACAGGTTTACATGCAAAATTATAAAGGAAGCAATCACATTAGCACATAAATATAACCCTGAGTTAATTAGCCTACCAAAATGTTTAATCAGTTATATTTTACCAATAAAACATGTTTCTAAAGAGGCATGACTTTTGAACTAACATCCATTTGCCAGCACAAAGAATCATATGGCAATGCATATGTATAAAATAGTCGCTCTCTAAAAGCTCCTTGGCCAAGAGATACAACTTTTGTTGTCAGTGTTGACCCTGAACAAAAATGCTGATCATATAATTATTATGTTTACAGTACTACTGTGCCACACAGTATTGGTCCAGACCTTCTGGTAACTTTTGGAAAGAGGGCTGAAAAGCACCCCTCCCCTTAAAGACTGGGTTAGTCTTTGGAATGGGTGAAAGCTGAGAACTTTCATGTGATGTGTGGACTTATCTTAAAGACAGTCATAGTCCATGAAAATTTATGCCATAATAAGAATAAGAATAAGAATAAGAATTTTTTATTTGTATCCCGCCCTCCCCGGCCAAAGCCGGGCTCAGAGCGGCTAACAACAAGTAAAAATCGCACAGTGTACATAAAATCACACAGTCAGTTAATTAAAATACATTCTAAAATCAATTCAGAATCAAATTAATGGCAACCATTGGGTTAGAGTTCTATGAGGATTACAGGAGGAGAGAGGGGGTCAAACTGTGCCTTGGTCAAAGGCCTGGCGGAACAGCTCCATTTTGCAGGCCCTGCGGAAAGATGTCAAGTTCTGCAGGGCCCAAGTCTCTTGTGACAGAGTGTTCCAGCAGATCGGGGCTACAGCTGAAAAAGCCCTGGCTCTGGTTGAGGCCAGCCTAACTTCTCTGTGTCCTGGGATCTTCAAGATGTTTTTATTTGAAGACCGTAAGGTCCTCCGTGGGACATACCAGGAGAGGCGGTCCTGTTGGTATGAGGGTCCTAGGGCGTATAGAGATTTAAAGGTTAAAACCAGCACCTTTAACCTGATCCTGTACTCCACCGGGAGCCAGTGCAGCTGGTGTTGCACCGGGTGAATGTGATCCCACGCTGAGGACCCTGTAAGGAATGTTGCTGCGGCATTCTGCACCCGCTGGAGTTTCTGGGTCAGTCCAAGGGCAGCCCCACGTAGAGTAAGTTGCAATAATCAAGCCTGGAGGTGACCGTCGCGTGGATCACAGTGGCTAGGTCAAGGCAAGAGAGGTAAGGAGCCAACTGCTTAGCTTGGCGGAGATGAAAAAATGCAGCCTTTGTTATAGTTGCAACCTGCGCCTCCATAGAAAGGGAGGTGTCGAAGATTATACCCAAATTCTTAACGGACGGTGCTGGCACTAATTGTGCCCCCGCAAGAGATGGGAGTTGGCGCCCCATCAACAGATAGAGTTGGGTGTCATCAGCATACTGATGGCAACCCAAACCAAAACTCTGGACAAGCTGGGCAAGGGGGCACATAAAGATGTTGAAAAGCACTGGGGAGAGTATCGTACCCTGCGGCACTCCACACACCAAGGAGTAGCACGATGACAGTTCCCCCCCAAGCGCCACCCTCTGTCCCTGACCAGAGAGAAACGAGCGCAGCCATTGAAGGGTTGTGCCCTGGATCCCCACGTTGGTGAGGCGGTAAGAAGCTAGTCTTGTAGGGCGTGTGGAATAATCTATGTGGATGATCACTTTGCAGGAATGAGACAAGATAGAGAAGGATTTCCTAGACCTGAGGGTAGAGAAGGCCTTCAAACTACTCTGATAAAAAATATATAAAGTATGTGGTTTTTGGTTTTAAAGTATAATGAGATACATTATTGCTTTTACCCACTGAAGCCAGGTTGCTTTGTTAAGTCTCATTGTTAAAGCTCAGCCCCCTGCCCAATCTTAGAAGACATTCTGAGAACCCTACTGTATGTAGGCCTACTCAAATCCCGTGTTGGAAGGAAGTTGAGACGTAACTGGAATGTGTATTTAGTACTACTGTTCTTCAAAGAGTTATTACCAAAATGTATGCTTTTTTGCTTCTGGGAGATTTTAGAGATACTAGTACTTCAAATACAGTGGTACCTCTGGTTACGTACTTAATTCGTTCCGGAGGTCCGTTCTTAACCTGAAACTGTTCTTAACCTGAAGCACCACTTTAGCTAATAGGGCCTCCCGCTGTTGCGCCGCCGCCACACGATTTCTATTCTCATCCTGAAGCAAAGTTCTTAACCCGAGGTACTATTTCTGGGATAGTGGAGTCTGTAACCTGAAGCGTATGTAACCTGAGGTACTACTGTACAACATAAATGCTCAGCAACATTTACCTACTTGTATAGAATTTGCTTAAGCTGTTGTTTTTTAAAATTCCAATTACAGAATGCTAGGCTCTGAATAAAAATATCTCAAATGAATCCCTGTGTTCATATTTTTTGGGGAGTGTTATCGTTTGTCTCTCACCTAGAACTGTACTAGAAATTTTATAGACATGGATGGAAAAACAAAAACAAAAGCCTCCAACCCTTGCAATGTTGGATCCTCCTAACAGAGGGTCCATGTTGTTCTCGGCCCTGAATCTCTTCCCTAACTGGCTTGTGGGTGGGGCTTGCCCCGCTCCAAGCTGGTGGTGCCACAGTTATGCCAATGGCCTTTAGCCAATCAGCAGCATGGCAAGGTTGGGGGTATCTATTTGGCAGCGCGACGTAGGGACCTCCTTTTGCTTCGTGCTGTTGAACACTCACCCACGCACCTGTTAATTAGGTCGTGTTTGCCCTTGCTTTGGACTTTGGTTGGGGCCAGGTAGGAATTTTTCCAATGTGGCAGATTGGCTGTGGCCACTTGGTTTTTGCCTACCTCTTAGCAATCATCACAACTTTGTAAGGTTAGGCGGTTAGGCATTGGTTTAGGGGAATGTGGGGAGGGGAGGTGCGGCCATCACCTGCCCCTCCAATGAATAGGGTATTCCGTTAAAGGAAACTGGCGGTCTGGATCTCGTCTGAAGCCCGGAGAGGGGCTAGGGCCCTGCCAGGACCCCGGGAACCCCAGAGGTGACCACCAGTTAATATACATTGATGGAGCTCCCCCTGCTGGTTGTTTACCCTTCCAGGCTTCCTGCAGGGTGGGGCAGGAGCCAGATATAGTTTGATACCAATGCCTAAGCCAATACTGACTGTGTATTTTAATAAAGTTGTGGCCAAAATTTGCCCATTAATATTTAAACTAAATTCTGTCCCCACTGTGTCTTTATTTCCATTTGGGATGGGTTTTGGGGCTCAAAGCACAACCAGGATTGAAAGATGAAATTATGTAGTATGTGTTTTCTGTAAACAGATGCAAGTATTTCTGGAATTGTAAGGAATGTCTTTCTTTCTTTCTTTCTTTCTTTCTTTGAATGGATTGCTTTCCTTTTATATGCAGTGTTAATGGGAACTAGCTATGCAAAAACACACACCCCAGAATTGCAAATGGAGTTCTTTGAACTACTTGTGCAAAAGGGAGAAAGGGCATAGGATACAGTCATACCTCATGTTGCATCTGCTTCAGGTTACATGTTTTTGTGTTGCGTCCCACGGCAACCCGTAAGTACCGGAATGGGTTACTTCGGGGTTTCGCCACTCACACATGCGCAGAAGCGCTAAATCATGCTGTGCGTGTGCACAGACGCGGCGCTTCAGCTTGGGTCAGTTCCATGTTATGGACAGGCCTCAGGAACAGATCCCGTCCGTAACACGAGGTTCCACTGTACAGAGTTTGCAGCAACTTACAATGCAATGCAACAAGGCAGTTGGGCCCTAAGCAGCAACCTGATCATGGAAGGTGCTGTTGTTGCAAATCACTGCTACTGCTACTCCACATAGAATCAGGCTGCACAGTGCCAATCTACATTTTTCCTTGACTTATTCACCATGTCCACATTGCTGTCTTGCCAGCACAGGTGAGACGTACAGCAAATCTGTGCGGATCTGTGCACAAAAGAACTCAATGGGTTTCTGTGGTACTGAATTTGAATGCTCATGGCTTCAGCATCAAGCACTTAGTGTTGTGTAACTTTATTAATACAGTGAGCTAACCTAGTTTTACGTGAGTGTATTCAGTTTCACCAGAATTCTTTGCAAAGAAGAAACTGATTGGTGATCAAGATTTCCAATCCAGTTTTCTTTTTCATAACAAGGAGAGGATCATTAATATTGCATTCAGCCTCATGGATTCTAAATTAATTTTTCATTTATTTTCATGTACTGAGCACAGCAGAAGGACCTAGAAAAATGAAGATGCTTCAGGACAATAACATTACATAATTGAGGAATGCCGTATACAGCTACATTGAGTTTGCTTTGATTTATAGTTGTACTGATATTGTTTATTTCTACTAAAATGGCATTTAAAATGTCTTCTATCCACTAGGAAATCTGTCATCTTGCCATAATGCGATAATGGCTAGCTTTTTTATTATCTAAACAAATGAACATTTAACAGATGTTAATAGCAACAGATAAAAATATTCAAACACTAACAGATATTGACAAGTTCCTAGTAAGTCCTAGGTAACTGAATAAATGGACAGACCAGTGTGGAACTTCTGTTTTAGTCTGAAAAAAGCATTTATTTATTTGGTTTTGCTTTACGTTGACACCAAGTATGGCCCTGCAATGATTTGACTCGGGACCACAGTGCACAGGGAAGCAAGGTGCAACCCACCTTTCCCAAAAGACATGGAGTGATGTGGGGGCGATTTATTACAGGATTGGGAATATACCCTCCTCTCCTTATGTGCTGTTTTGTTTGTTAGGTTTGTAAGGTATATTATTATATAATGTTATTTTATTATTATTTCATAGGATGTTGTTCAACATAGATCTCTGCTGAGTCCCACCGAGAGAAATGGTGGGGTATAAATAAATATATTATAATAATAATGTAACAAGGGAAATAATGCAGAAATATAAAAACAATGACCTGTCGGTACATTCACATTTACATGTAGTGGAGCCACGTACAAATTGGGTAAGGCAAAAAGGACCCCTGGACAGTTAAGTCCAGTGAAATTTGACTATTGGGAGGCGGTCCTCATGTCGCTTCAGGCTGAAGGAGCCGGTGTTTGTCCGCTTTAGAGTGGCACCAAAAAAACAGGAGCTAACAACAACATAAATAGAAGTATAGTATGCAATACTGGTGGTTTGCTATGGAGTTGCAGCTGCAGGCTGGAGCATTTTCGCACTGCCCCATTTGTATGAAAACATGAAAACTTAATATACCTTCACCTACACACAGAGAAAGCTATTTGCTGAGAGAGGAGAACTTGCACTGGCTGTATTTGAAATTGGCTTGGTTTTTATGAACTCTTTCAGTGAGCATCTGGTGGGGGTGGAATTATTAGTTTTCCATGAATTTAGCCCTGGCTTGTAGTGCCTCTCCATGCATGCAGATGTTGTCCCACATATGCACCTTATCATATTGCTTACCTGGGATTTAAACTACCCAGCTGCAGCCATGACTGAGAGTTGTCTGGAAAGACAACTGATCCCCCTTTACCAAAATAAGCAAACTCAGGACCAACAGAGGTTTGCAGATCTGGATG